TTATGAAGAGGGTTGAACGCTCGTTATTTTATGAAATTGAAATGGAAGACGAAAATGAGATTAAAGTGAAGAATTATAAGGAATGAACAGTATATGAGATGAAATAATGCTTGTGGATTTTGAACGAGCGTTCCAGGGAGGAACGACTCATGTATGGATGAATATGGAATTTTGTAAAGTATGATNTATGATGGTGAAAGAACTCAGTCTGGTTGAGTGCTTTAGAGATCTAAGGTTGCAGTTCGAATTGGAACCGAACAACATCAAATGTTGTTAGCTTAGAATATCCAGTGATATCTTTGACCGGATCAAAATGAAACAAAGGGAAGACGAAGACCTGGTGAAGATTTTGAATACGCTCGGTTCAGATCAAGCTAAGGAATTCAATACTGGAACGGACGGCATATTACGCTATAGGGGTAGGACGTGCGTTCCAAACGATGGAGATCTGAAGAGGATTATCTTGGAGGAAGGGCATCACAGTCGTCTTAGCATACACCCTGGTATGACTAAGATGTATCAAGACCTCCGGAAATCCTTCTGGTGGCCTGGAATGAAGAATGATGTCGCTCGTTTTGTGGCGTCATGTCTAACATGTCAACGTGCGAAGGCGGAGCACCAGAGACCAGGCGGTTTATTGCAGCAATTGGAAATTCCTGAATGGAAGTGGGACAACGTCTCCATGGATTTCGTGACCCACCTACCACGCACGGTCAGAAATCATGATTCAATTTGGGTAATCGTGGATCGACTAACGAAGAGCGCTCACTTCCTGGCAGTCAACTTGAAGATGTCGATGACCAACCTAGCCAAGCTCTACATTAAGGAGATCGTTCGTCTACATGGAGTACCTTCGAGTATCATTTCTGACGGAGACACGAGATTCACATCTCGGTTTTGGCAATCTTTGCAAGGCGAATTGGGAAGCAAACTTCAGATGAGTTCAGCTTATCACCCTCAAACGGACGGCCAATCTGAGAGGACCATCCAGACGCTCGAAGACTTATTGAGGACGTGCGTCCTAGATCACTTAGGCGCTTGGGATGAAGTCTTACCGCTAGTAGAATTCACCTACAACAACAGCTTTCAGTCTAGCATCGGAATAGCGTCGTTTGAAGCTCTCTATGGGAGAAAGTGCCGAACGCCACTTTGTTGGTTCCAAGAAGGAGAGAAGGTGTTAACTGGACCCGAACTTATCCAGCAAACGACCGAGAAGATGAAGCTAATTCAAGAGAGGTTGAAGACGTCACTAAGCAGGCAAAAGTCCTATGCGGATAAGAGAAGGAGACCTTTGGAGTTCGCTGCAGGAGATCATTTTTTCCTTAGACTCAACCCGATCACTGGAGTAGGCAGAGCCGTTCGTCCAAAGAAGCTATCCCCCAAGTTTGTCGGGCCTTATCAAGTTTTGAGAAAGATCGGGCCAGTGGCGTACGAGTTGGCCTTACCACCTCAACTGTCAAACCTTCACCCAATCTTCCACGTTTCCCAACTTCGGAGGTACACAGCCAACCCCTCTCAGATATTGGAGTTGGAAGACGTTCAACTTCGTCAAGACCGAACGCTGGAGTTACAACCAGTTCCTGTGGAAGACAATCGCACCAAGTTATACAAGGGAAAAGACGTTCGGTTAGTGAAGATGGTGTGGGACGAAAAGACTGGCGACTCTACATGGGAAGTGGAGGATGCTATGAGGGACTTGTATCCTCACCTATTTCCGGGTAAGATTTAATTTTCGAAGACGAAAATTTTTGTAGTTAGGGGGAATGTCAGACCTTTAACCCAAACCCCACCTGTTAAATCTCATTTATTACACCCTAAACCCTGCTCAGGTGCATTAAAAATGCACTCCCAAACTCTGCACACTGACGCCAGGTGTCAAGAATGGAAGGTTCGAAAATCAGTAGTGGAAGACAAGTGTCCGTATGAGAGGGTGCGTTCGTTTTACCTTGGGAAGAAAAATGATTTCTGAAACTTTCTTTCCACTCTCTCTGCATGCACCCTTCTTCCTCCTGAAGACTGATTTTCATTTTCTCCTCCTTCTCTCTAGAAAGTTTTCCTCTTCTCTCTACTGTAACTCACTACTTTCTTCTCCGATCGCCATTCAGAAACCGTAGAAGAGTTCCCTGCGTCATGAGCTCCATTCTGAACCGAACAGCTTTAGAATCTAAAACTGGTAAGTCGCTCGTCCCTAGCTGTTGTTCGTATGAACATGCAAACCAAGCCTGGTTGCATGTATTCACTTTGTCTGAATCAATCTTGGTTCTGTCACTTGTTTTAGTTTGAAAGAGTTGAGTGATCTTGAGGGTAGAAGTTGTAGTTGGGCGAACCAAGAACAATACGTTAGGACGTTTTCACTCACGAATCCAGGTAAGGGAAGCTTATTTAATTTAATTGATATTCGTATGTTGTTTTCTGTATGAGCGTTCGTTATTGACTGAATGTATGTGGTACATGCTGGTTGTTATGTATGATGATGGTTGATATGTATGAATGTGAATATGGATAATTACTGTGGAGCATGAATTGTTAATATGAATCCTATAAAGTATGTGAATTGATAATTGATATGAAATTATAATATATGAACTATATGATAAATGTTGAGTTAGAAACAGATGAAAAATTGAAGATGAAATTCTCTCTAAGAAAATGTACGTACGTCATCGAACGGTCCTTTACTGTTCGGTTTCTCTAGTAAACTGTTAAAATTGAAATTCTTTCATTTGGAAAGAATTCTAGTTGAGGACGAACGCCCTCTTGTATTAGTGCTACGTTTGAGCGTTCGGCCGAACGTAGATGCCCCGAGTGTTATGTGAGGAGTTGAGAAGCTTATAACTATACCTTTGGACACTTAGTCATTTCTAAATTCTATCTTCACCATCTCGTATTACCTTTATTTCTAATTCTATTATGAGTACACATCTGCGATGGGTCTCGACCCAAAGCGTTCGTTATGAGTGGCGCTCGGTATTATACTGAACGCTCGTCCTAGTATTAAATTACAAAACGGGTGGAAATAGCGTTTGTCCAAATTTCAGTAACTCCGTGTACCGTGTTCGGTCATTGACTCGCAGTCGGTTTCTATAATTGAATTGTTCTAGGTATGGTCATTTAATCGTCTTGAGGTGTCTCTATCCATTTGAATTCGGCCTAGAGCCTTTGTACCTAAATTATTATTGAGTATTGATCGGATCTTCTTAGAGTCAGTTCATTCAACTGATTCAAGTGGTAAATGACGTTCGTTAAATATTAAATGTCGGTTTTATTCTTTTCTGAAACGAGGATCTCTCGGTCTCGTTTTTAACGTTCGTCCTCATTATGAAGAGGGTTGAACGCTCGTTATTTTATGAAATTGAAATGGAAGACGAAAATGAGATTAAAGTGAAGAATTATAAGGAATGAACAGTATATGAGATGAAATAATGCTTGTGGATTTTGAACGAGCGTTCCAGGGAGGAACGACTCATGTATGGATGAATATGGAATTTTGTAAAGTATGATCGTGGGCATGCTAATGTTGGCAGTTCATCTTGATGTTCCGTGAGTACCCATCCTCAAGTAGAGGTGAGTAGGTCATGTGTGGGAACGGCAGGAGGTCCTAGTCCTTAGGGGTACTTTGGATAGGGCTAACGTCGGGTGGCAGCTGATGAGATTATTCCAGTTACTACATCACCCGGGTGCAAGAACGCCTGTAGCTACACAGATTCATACAGTCCGGACGGTCCGTCTAGAGATATTTTTGTATGGTTATACATGTTGAACTATAGTCTTGTGTTGTTTGGAATGTTACTTTAAATGTTGATGTATGAATTAAATTACATAAGCTTACCCTGTGTTCTCTCCTTGTGTTGTTTCGTCCTTGTACGTCCGTCTTGTCAATTGCAATGATCATCCGTGTGGATGTGAGCAGAAGGAGATGCCTTGTTGGAAGATATAATTGAAGAGGAGAATTTGGTAGATGTGGAAGTCAAGGCCGAGCCTTAGAGCGTCCGGTTATTCATAGATGATAGCTAGTTAATTTTGATTTTGAACGTTCGGTTATTTGGTTTTGTAAAACCGTTCGTCCCAAACTCTTGTTACTTCTGTATTAATGTATTTAACTCTGTAATTAATGTCGTTCAGCTTTTGGAACGTTGATTTTAGTGTAGGACTGCACTGTTTGATTTTGCAATGTAATTAATTCTAATTTATGGTTATTACTGTGTTTTGGGATGTTACATTAGTGGTATCAGAGCAGTTTTGTTCTCTTAAGGACACTGTAGGTTATGAGTGCACTATGTTTTGGCTGTGTGCTTAATATGTGTTTGATGAGTTATTTTAAACTCTTTGAACATAACTAACGTTCGTTTTCTCTGCTTCTCAGAGAACTAATGGCACCAAGACTTCCTCCTCCACCTCAACCCATCGACCGTGATACACCCGACAACACCAGGTTGTTGGAGACGGTAATCGATAGGTTGCAACAACAGAACGCTACCCTGATGGAACAGAACGCGGCTGCCTTGCAGAGTTTGGAGGCCGCTCGCGCAAATTCTGGAGCTACACAGAGGCAATTGATGGAGATCATTGCCGCTACCAGGAACACACCGGGAGCGTCCTCTTCCAACGTTACCCAACAGGCTGAGTGGAGCTTGGAGAGTTTCCTTTAGCATCACCCCGCAAAATTCAGTGGGAAATGCCTTCCTGACGAGGCGGATCAGTGGCTGAGAGATATGGAACGGATCTACAATGCCAAGAGTTGCCCTGATGATAATAAACTTGCATTTACGGAGTATCTGCTGACCGGTGAAGCAAGCCACTGGTGGACGAGCATGAGAGCTATCTTGGCGGACACTCACAGTCCCATCACATGGGAAGTATTCAGAAGCAAATTTTATGAAGAATACTTTCCAGACAGCGTTCGTTTTGCTAAGGAAGTGGAGTTTCTACAACTGGTACAAGGTGGAATGTCTGTTTCCGAATACACGAACAAGTTCAAGCACTAGGTTCGTTTCAACACTATGGCTACCAGTGAGGAGTGGCAGTGTACAAAGTTTGAAAATGGGCTAAGGAGTGATCTGAAGGTGTTAATCTCCAGCCTGTGTATTCAGTCATTTCCTGCAATGGTTGATAGAGCCAAAGTATTGGAGAAGAATATGGCAGAAGCAGAACGACATAAGAAGCAACAACAGGTGGTTAGGGGACCGATCGTATCTAGAAACAATACTAAACTGAGAAGGACCACCTACACTCGTCCAAATCAACCATCAAATTCCAGTGGGTCTCAAGCGGTGGTCACTGTTGGACAGTTTGGGCAACCAGGAAACGTGACCTGTTTCCAGTGTGGAGGACCGCATTACCGCTCGTCATGTCCTCAACTGATGGGAGGAAAATTCTGCGCTCGTTGTAGAAGAAGTGGACATCTGGAAAATGAGTGCAACACGGGAGGACGAGTCGTGATGAGACCACCGAACGCTAGAAGGAATCAGCCAAGAGGTGGTCGGGCTCAAGCAGTTAGGCGTGTATATGCTATAACGGGCGCTGAGGCAGCAAGCTCAGGTACACTCATCGCCAGCACCTGCTTAGTATATGGTAGATCTTGTTGTGTATTGTATGATTTGGGAGCAACACATTCCTTCATCTCGAAGGCATGCGTTGGCAAATTAGGTTTAGAAGTGAGAGAGATGCAATTCGACCTGGTGGTGTCAACCCCAGCGGCTGGCGAGGTTAGGACGTCCACTATGTGCGTCAGATGTCCTATAGAAGTGGAGGGGAGTAAGTTTAAAGTCAATCTCATCTGCTTACCTCTTCAAGGTTTGGAGGTGATTTTAGGAATGGATTGGTTGGCTACCAATCGCATTCTCATAGATTGTGGTAAGAAGGAATTAGTATTTCCTGATGAAGAAGAAGAAGAGTTATCAGTAATGCTCGGTCAACTAAAAGAAGACATTATGGAGGGCGCCAGTTGTTTCCTGATTATGACGCACGAAGATCAGGAGTTCGAAAGTTTAAGGCAAGAACGATCGTCTAGTAGTAACAGTAACGGACGATCGGTTGTGGATGAGTTCCCGGACGTCTTTCCGGATGAAATACCTGGACTTCCTCCTC